TAAATGTTTACTAAAACTCACCAGTGAAGTCATCTGGTCCTGGGCTTTTCTTTGTTGTGAGTTTTTTTGAGTGCTACTTCATTCTCTTTATTAGTGATTAGTCTGTTTAGATTTTCTATTTCTGATTCAATGGTATTTAGTATGTTTCTAAGAATTTTTCAGTTTTTTATAGGTTGTCCAGGTGGTTATAGTTGTAGCAGTTCTTATGATCTTTTATATTTCTGTGGTATCAGTTTTAATGTCTCACCTTTTTTTATAATTTTATTGATTTGGGTTTTCTCTCTCTTTATTTATTTATTTTCCTAGCTAAACGTTTGTAAATTTTCTAAGGGCCAACTCAATTTGCTAATTTTTTTCCTGTTATTTCCCTGTTCTTTATTTTACTTATTTCTGCTATAATCTTTTTTATTTCCTTCCTTTTGTTAACTTTGGGCTTATTTTATTCCCCTTCTTCTAGTTCCTTGAGGTGTAAGGTTAGTTGTTTAATTGTTGCTGCTGTTTAGTAGCTAAGTTGTGTCTGACTCTTTTGGATCCCATGGACCTTAGCCTGCCAAATTCCTCTGTCCATGGGATTTCCCAAGCAAGAATACTGGAGTGAGTTGGGATTTCCTTCTCCAGGGAGATCTTCCTGACCCAGGGATTGAACCTGTTTTTCCTGTATTGACAGGTAGATTTTTTACCTCTGAGCCATCAGGGAAGTCTAGCTGCTTAATTAAGATCTCTCAATTTTCTTGATGTGTGCATTTATACCTAGAAACTTCCCTATCAGAAATGATTTTGCTGCATCCTCTAAGTTTTGGTATATTGTGTTTTAATTTTTGTCTAACTCAAGCTATTGTTTCCTGCAACAATTTTTCTCTGACCCATTGGTTGTTCAGAAGTGTGTTGTTTAAATTTTCATGTGTTTGAGTTTCCTCAATTACCCTCCTGTTATTGATTTCTAGTTTTGTACCATTATGGTCAGAGAAGATACTTGGCATAATTTCAATCTTGAATTTTTTAAGATTTGTTTTGTGGCCTAACATATGATCCATCCTAGAAAATGTTTCAAGTGCTCTTGAGATGAATGTGTATCCTACTGTTAAAGTAGTTCCAACAAAAGTTTATTTTATTTCAATAGCAGAAGCTAAAAGTCCAAGATCAAGGTGTTGTCAGGGTTGGTTTCTTCTGATGTCTGTGAGGAAGGATCTATTCCATACTTCTCTTCCAGTTTCTCATTGTTTACTGGCAATCTTTGACATTCCTTGACTTGTAGGTACATCATTTCAATCTTAGTTTTTTCAGCACATGGTATTCTAACTGTGCTGATGTGTGTCTATCTCTGTTTGAATATCCCCCTTTTATAATGATATCAGTCTTATTGGACTAGAGCTTACTTTAATCACCTCATCTTAACTAGTTACATCTTCAATAACCCTATTTTAAAATAAGATCACATTCTGAAGTCCTGGGGGATAAGACTTCAACATATGAAATTTTGGGGGACATGATTCAACCCATAACACTATGTCTGTCCAAACAGGAATCATTATGTGGATACTTTTCCATGATTGGCTTTTTTCGTTTATTGTGGACACATTGCCATGTTGCTATATACAAATCTACAGATTTTGGTAATGCTCTGTAGTATTCATTACAGTAATGTAGTTAGCTGCTCATTGAATGATGTAGTATTGAATGAGTTTCTTTTTTACTGTTACAAGTAACTCTGAAAACAGCATATTTATATATACTTTATATAAGCATATTTCTTTTCTTTTGAGACAGAAACCTATAAGTAAAATTAATAAGACAAAACTTAGGCATTTTATATTTTGTTAGATACAGTCAAATTTCCTTATCTTGAACTTTAGACCTTTCTTTCTGACCGCATATTGCCCCTGCCCCCTCCACAGTGTTACATCAGCATCACATACTAAGCATTTGTAAATCTTTATTTCTTGTAACTTACTTCTCATCCTTCTCCTTTGCCCTCTTCTTGCCCTCTCTATTCCATGTTGTTGAAAAGTGGGACTTTCCAGGGGGCTGACAAGTAAACAGAGGATCATTTTTATTTTGTTTTTACTTTCAATCCCTGCTGTCTTTCATCTTTCTTTTACGTAACACTGCAGGGAATCTTCTAAAGTGTAAATTGTTTAATATTGGACTTTTGCTCAAAAAACCTTCAGAAGTTCTTCTTTGAAGTCTGAGTAAATTTAATATATCTTAGCTTGGCACATAAGGCTATACCTGATCAGCCATAGATCACTGCTCCTCCCTCTTGCCTACCAGGCCCTTCACTCTGTTTTGAGTCATACTAAATTAATTTTTAATTCTAAGAACCTGGTCACTCTTCCACTCTTCCTCACCCTTGTGTAGCATTTTCCTTTTGCCTGAAGGGTTACCCTTACTCTCCCATTTCCACCATCCACCTAGAACACACCTTATTCTTCAGTTAATTTCTCTGATTCTTAGTTTTTCTATTTAAAAATAAAGCTAAAAGTAACACCTGCATCTTGGTTTTGTAATACTTTAATGAAATAATCCTATTTAAATTTATCATCATGGAGCCAGGTGCTTAGTAGATAATCAGTAGATGTTAAACCTTCTTCCTCAGTTTTCTTTGTGAGACATTTTTGTGACATAAATCACAAACTCATTAGTAATTTTTAAAAAGTCAATCACCATATAATACATGGTGAAATATCTACGTTCAGTAAATGTAAATGTAGATCTGAGTTGAATGGATTGGGTGAAGCCAAGATATATGATGTTGGTTACATTCCTCTAACCTAATAGATTGTTTGATAGGGCATGGTGGTTTGATTTTCTAAACATTTCAATACATGCTCTGTGTACCCATCAGTCAATCTCAGTGGTTAACAATACTTTGATAAGCCTGATGTAACTTATTCTTGACAAAAACCACCCTATCTGTTGGTAATTGCTGCCACTTCATTGTGTACTTCTCCTCAGACATCTGTTGTATAATACCTTCCAACCCTTTTATTTTGGAAACAGTGGTGAAGATTACTATTCTGTAACTGTCAAAACAGTCTTACTTTCCTTTTTGATGACTATCTCTAGGCTTCTGGCATTTTTGCCAGTATCTTAGTCCATTTGGACTGTAATAACAAAAATACTACAGACTGGGTGTCTCAAACAACAAATATTTATTTCTCACTGTTCTGGTTGTTGGAAATCCAAGGTTAGGGTTAGGCCTGTAGATTACCTGGTTCCTGATAAGAACTCTGTTCCTACCTTGCATATAGCCATTCTTGTTGTGTTTTCACATGGTAATAGGAGCAAAGCAAATCTCTGGGGTCTTTTTTGTAAGGGTGCTATTCCCATCATGAGGACTCCACCCTCAAGACCTAATCACATCTCAAAGGCCCCACATTCTAATACCATCACATTGGGAGTTAAGATTTCAACGTATGAAATTTGGCGGTAGGGGACTACAAATATTCATTCTAACAGCCAAGAGTCCTGAAAAACTCTTCTGCATGTTCACTGAAGATCCTCTGATAAAATTCTTCTTCGCTGGAGATAAGAGCTTGCTATAAACCACTCAGTTTCTTTTGCTCGTCCCTCTCGGGCTTCATTTCCCTCTTTGTCTTGCTTGCTCAGTCTTTTGTTGTGATTCATCCTTGACTAGGAAGATGGAGACCAGTGGGTGGGTAAGTGCTTCTGTTTCCTTTGGGTCATCTGTTCACGCTATACTATCTGAGTGACTTCCTTCTATTTTTCCTGATTCCAAGACACCTTAGAATTTAAAAACATATCATTGTTAAGGGTTATGGCAGAAAGGAATGTGCCTGCATGAGATACTCTTAAATCAAGGCTTTGTTCAAGGTCTTACATTGTGACTTTCTGTATACTGTATACCACCCTCTGAGCTTCTTTTCAGGAGTGACACAGCTCTCTTTTCAGAGCTCTCATGCTGTTGTTGGGTGATAATGCTATATTATAGTATTATCTAGTTACAAAGTTGAGCAGCTTGTGAAATGCTTTTTCACAAACGTATGGTATATGTTTCACAAATGTATGGTGTATGCCCAACCTGAGAGTACATCAACAGTCTTAATTTTACTGAGTATAATGTAAAAAGAGGCTTTATGCTCTGAGAAACGTTTTATAGTGCAGAACATAGTATGAGGTAGATAGAAGGGGCAACAGAGCAGGGGATGACTCTAGAAGGTGCTAGTATAGGTTCCTTCTCTCCCAAATACTTGCTCTTTGACCTTAAGGGGAACATGATTTGACGAGCTTTAGCTTTCTCCTCTGTAAAAAAATATTCAATAGTTAGAGCTACACTGTCCCCTTGCCCAGTTGATAGAAAAATCAAATAAGGTAGTCTCTGCAGTTAATATAAAAATAATGAGAATTAGTATTAATAGTAAGAAATAATCTGGGATGTCTTTCTTGAAGAAGTGCTTGTGAGGAACATGTAGAGCCAGAGGGAATATATGTAGGAAGAAGGAGAAATGTGGAGGTAATGTGGATCAGTTTGCTTTTGCTGTCTCTTCTACTGACCCCAGGAAAGCATCTGCTTAGACATCATCTGTAGCTTTTATGAGGCCAGAGATAGGGAGTCATACTGTCTACAGATTATATTCAAGATGCTGGCTTCTGGCCTGTAAGTTGAGGGATGAAACTTTTCAGATAAGATGAAGTTCCTATGTTGAGACAGCTGTGTGATGTCCAAGAAAGGTTGGGCATTGAGGACTCTCTTTTTTTTTTTTTAAATTTATTTTAGTTTTATTGGAGTACAGTTGATTTACAATGTGCTAGCTTCAGGTGTACAACAAAGTGATTCAGTTATACATGTACATATATTCATTCTTTTTTAGATTCTTTTCTCATATAGGTTTTCACAGAATATTGCGTAGAATTCCTTGTGCTATGTACTCCTTGTTGGTTATCATGTTATACATAGTAGTGTGTGTATGTTCATCCTAAGTTCCTGATTTATCCTCCCTGCCCCACATTGAATTTTCTTTTCCTTATTCCTTCCACAGGTTGGTGAATTCTGGCCTTACATCAGGTTGTTGTCCAGCTCTATCCTCAGTGCTCAGTACAAATCCGAATCTCACCCACCTTTACCTACAGGGCAATGCTCTTGGAGACATGGGGGTCAAGCTACTCTGTAAGGGACTCTTGCACCACGACTGCAAGCTTCAGGTGTTGGAGTAAGTCTCTTAGCTTATTATGGTGATGGGAATGCATAGTGGCCCCAGGGAACGAGGTAGTTTGGGAGAATGATGAATCTGTATCTGAGAAGTGATAGTGTCTTCCTAGGGTTTGGTTTATCACAGGATTATGAGACTGGGAGAAGTTGTACTTTTAGATAGTATAAAGGTAAATACTAGAGTTCCTTGGGGTTGGTATGTACTTTTGTCTTAGGAAAATTTGTGGGGAGACACAGAATTTGGAAAGAACTGTTTCACAAACTGCTCTTACTAATTTGATCTGCACAATCCAGTAGATTGGAAAAAATACTCTCATTTGAAGAGGAAAGAATAACTCTTGGCACATAAAGCAGTTCAAAGCTTGTTAATTCTGAGCTTTTCCTACATTTGAAATATTACAGACAGAGACCTGGGAGACCTGTGTAGGATAATTAAGGAGACATTTTTAAAAAGTCACCTTCTTTCTTGCAGGTTAGATAACTGCAGCCTCACATCACACTGCTGCTGGGATCTTTCCACACTTCTAACTTCTAACCAGAGCCTGCGAAAGCTGAGTCTAGGCAACAACGACTTGGGAGATCTGGGGGTCATGCTTCTCTGTGAAGTGCTCAAACAGCAGGGCTGCCTCCTGAAAAGCCTGAGGTAAGTGTGCCCTGAAGAGATTTGTATGGCACGGCTCACAGTGCTAAAGAAAATTTTTGCAGTTTCCAAAATCCAGGATGGCTTCATTCACACTCTGGGTAAGGTTGTTCAGTTCAGTTCAGTTTAGTCGCTCAGTCTAAAGGTTGAGCCTTGTCCAACTGCAGCTTTTTTTTTTTTTTTTTTAATATATACTGTATGTGAGTCGTGAACTACATATTCAACTTTGTCCAGATGTTTAGAATAATGAAGTTTCAGTTGGGTGTGAAAAGACTTTCCATCCATATTCTTGAAAAAAACACAATTCCCAATGAAAGTAGCTAAATAGAATTATATTTCTATACAAGGTATTATACTTTGTAAAAGTAGACCTGTCTATTGTAAAAGTCCTTGCATAGTAGGGTGTTGTGCATCTTGTTTCTGAGAATTTCTAGGTGAAAAGTGCTCCAGAAACATCAAGATCATAAATTCATAAAATTTGGCCTATATTCAGGGTGTTGGGACCGTCTGCTCCCTTCTATCATCAATGATACTGCTAAGCCACTCATTGATTACCTCTCTAGTAAGAGCTTCCTAAATAGTTTCATGACTTCTGCTAGCATTGGTAATCACATCCTTCACTAAAGATTTCCTTCACTTGGTTTTAGGGACAACATACTCTACTCTGAATTTTCTCCTATTACATTGGCTATTTCTGCTTAGTCTCCTCTGGTTTCTCTTCATCATCTTGACCTTTGCATGCTGAATACCCAGAACTCAATCTCTGAGTTAATTTTTCTTCTCTACACTTTCTGCTTTTTTTTTTAAAAAAAATATCATCTAGTCTTCTGGTTTTATCACATACATGCTGTACCCCTCCCTGCAGTTCATATCTCCCTGAATTCCATGTCTAAATGCTTGTCTCACCTTTCTGCTTATATACCTAATAAGCCACCCAAACTTGACACGTCCAAACCCAAACCTGTGCTGTTCCCCTCTGTGTAAAATCCGTTTCTTACCTACCTCAGTCAATGGTAACTCAGTCTGAACTGTTCAGGTGCAGAAAGCCTGGTGTTGTCTTTGATACTTTTTCTTTATGTGCATATCCAGTCCAATGGCATGTCCTTTTAACTCTGTTTTCACAGCATGCCCACTCAATGACCACTTTTTGCCAGCTTCACAGCTCCTTTCCTGGTTCAAGCCATTGTCCCCTCTTGTCTGGACTGTCCTGGTGACATTCTGGTAGGCTATTCTGCATCTACCACTGCAGATGGAGGGTATAGCTAAAACGTGAGTCAGAGCATATCACTCCTACTAACATGCTTGTTTCACAAAGCAAGAGCCATAAACTCATGGCAGTATCTAAGGCCCCACATAATCCTGCTATTTCTGCAGTCATCTTCTAACCCTAGTTCCTTCTCCATTCACACTATTCTCTTTGCTGTTTCAAAAAACACTGTCACCTCTGAAACTATACACTTGCTGTTCCCTCTACCTGGGACTTCTTACACTCTGATGTCCATATGTCTTATTCCTGTGCATCCTTAAATTCTTTGCTCAGAGGTCTTTTCTGTGAGTCTGACTGTAACCATCCTACTGAAAATAGCAACCCAGCAATGCCTTTCCTCTTCTCTGCTTATTTTCCTCCACTGTGTTGAACACCATCATATAAGCTATATCATTTTCTTGCTTACTTATTATCTATATCTTTAAGACACTCTGGAGATGAGGGACAAGCTCGACACAGACTGGGGAATCCATGGATGCAGTCAATCTGCCTTGTGAACTCAGGTTGCCATAACAAAATAGAATAGTCTATATGCCTTAAACAAATCATAGTCACTCATTTCTCATAGTTCTGGAGGGCGGAACATCCACGATCATGGTGCTGGCTGATTTGGTTTCTGGTGAGAGCTTTCTTCTGGGCTTGTTGTGTCCTCATGTGGTACACAGAGAGAAAGACAGACAGACAGAGACAGAGATAGAGAGTACGTGCTATGGTATCTTTTCTTATAAGGGCACTAAGCCCATCTTAAGGACTCATCCCCATGAACTCATCTAACCCTCATTATATCCTGAAGGCTCCATTTCCAAATACCATCATAGTGAGGGTTAGGGCTTTAACATATGAATTTTGAAGGAACATAAACCATCAATAGCACACCCAAATCAAGATTATTAGAAATGATACAGGACAAATAGCGTAATTTCTTACTTAAGTTGTAAGGGAGATTAAAAAAAAAAAAAGAGATGGAGGAAGAACTCATATCATTGATAGGCATACCAAGCAATTACAATATGTGGATTTTTTTTTGGCGTAGTGGAGGGGTGGGCTATGGCTCATGGGAACTTGTTTCCCTGACAAGGAATTGAACCTAGACCACAGGAGTGAAAGCACCAAATTAACCACTGGATCATCAGGGAATTCTCAGTGTGTGGACTTTATATGGCTCCGGATTAAATGAACATAATATAAAAATTTTACCAGATTGTTGAGGAAATTGAAACACTGATTGGACATATATTAATATGTGAAAGTTATTGTTAACTTTTTTGGGTGTGATAATTGCATTGTAATTCTCTTTTAAAAGTTTTTTCATTTCACATATTGATATATTTATAGACGTTTGAACTGCTGTGCTTACAATAATCCACTGATGTGAGGAGTTGGGTGGGTAATAGCTGAAACAAGGCTGGCCATGAGTTGTAAACTGTCAAAGCTAGATGGCAGGATTAACTGTACTATTCTCTTTATATTTGCATGTTTAAATATTTCTAAACTTGAAGGTTAAAAATGTAACAGAACCACATTAGGCATGATGTGCAGCACTGGAAAGCTGAGAAGTGTGAGGTTAAGAGAGGAGACGAGATTTTTAAAGCCAAAAACTCTGCAAGTGTTCATTTGAAGACTGTAATCCAAGGCTCTCTTTTTGCTTTTATAGGTTGTGTGAGATGTATTTCAACTATGATACAAAACGTGCACTAGAAACACTTCAAGAAGAAAAGCCTGAATTAACCATTGTCTTTGAGCCTTCTCGGTAGTGGTGGAAGCACTCTGCCTTTCGGGTGTGGACAAGTTGTAGTGAGCATTCCTCCTTCAGCATTAAGATCACCTCTCTGCAATTCTTCTGGTCCAGTGAGGAAGAGTGAACACTTGCTGATGGTCCTTCTGCCTGGTGAATGTGAGAATCTCCTTTACCCCTAGGTTGAAGACACCAGTGCAATAAAATCATCAAATGAAACAGTTCTTACCACAGTGCCTTAGTCAGAGAATGTGTTCCTTTTGGTGACCTCACGTATCTAACTCATTCAGGAAAACACTTTTTCCTTCTTTTTCTCTTTTTACTCTAACTCTCCTTTCCTTTGTACCTCTCCCCACTTTTTTTCTTTGACTATATCATCTTTCCTGCCATCTTTCTCTTAATTGACCATAACAGAATGAGTTAACTATATATTATGCTGCAATTTTGTAGCAGCAACTTATTTATTTTTAATTTTTGAACTGTTATATATTCTAATAAGATAATTGATGTTTATTGTATTGTAGCTGGTTGGAAATTTTGAAAATAGAAAAAAACTTTATTGTATTTATTGAGTTAAATTGTTTCCTTTCCTTGGTTTTAAGAGAGGATGCCTAGAAAGACTTTTACTTATTTATCTAAACTACTAAAGATAAATTAAATTGCTTCATGTATTAAAAAAATCTCTTTGCCAAATGATTCAATTTTAATGAATAAGGAAAAAATCCTTCTAACTCTGATGGTTGAAATTCCAGTTCTGGTAAGACAAGAGGTTGAAAATCATGCAAAGGAAAATTTTAGAGTAGATGGAGCCTATATTCATAAATAGAACTATTATGTAGAAAATGCATTTTGCCTTCAGTTTTAAGAGTTTGTCTTGGATTTATCTCATCACAAGAACATTTCATCCATCACACTTCACATAGCATTAACTCATTAATATGTATTGATTAATTACTTTTCCACACATGGAGAAACTCTTGAACCACAGGGAATTGTTCAAGATAGAAATACTGCTTCTTTTTTCAAGTGAGTCATCTAGACCTTGCTTGTCAAAGTGTAGCCTATGGATTTCTGAAAAGATGAAAGTTAGTCACTCAATCATGTCCAACTCTTTGCAACCCCATGGAGTATAGTTTTCCAGGCTCCTCTGTCCATGGAATTCTCCAGGCAACACTACTGGAGTGGGTTGCCATTCCCTTCTCCAGGGGATCTTTCAGACCCAGGGATCAAAACTGCTTTTTTAGATGGGTTAACTTTTTTTCATGGTAAGACTCTTTCAATAGGGAAGGAGTATGTAATTTATATTCTGATGCAAAGTCTTTGTCTTTGTCTTCTGTAGGACCAACACTTTTGAGTAACTCTAGTCTCAATATTTGTATTTTTGCATCTTAGTAAAGTGAGGTATTGCAGACTGCCTATCTGCTAAAAATACCTTGACATTCAGGATAAAATATAATTAGAAACACACAGCTAAGCTGGAAAGATAGAAAAATTTCTGTGCACTAGGCTCTCAAAATTGAATTAAGAGTTTACCTCTCAAAGGTCAAGAGAAATACCTGAATAAAGACTCCACAGTATAACTATTAATTTGGAAAAATCCATGAAGTTTTCCTCACAAGGAGAACTAAAAAGTAAGTAAAGATGATGGATAGAAAATCAATATGCAAACATCAAAACAAGCAGTTGGAAAGAAATCATTCTTTCCAATCATCATAGTAAAAATTGGGTCAGGCATGAAGCATCAATGGGTGCTAAAACCTAATAGAAAATTGCAGGATTCTTATGTAGTCTGAAATTATCTTTTTACATTGGCTAATTAGTTGCAAAAGAAAAATACTAACTATATAAAAAGCAGAAACTAGACAGTACCCTGACTATCTAATAAAAAATATTAAGTAGGGCAGATGGATGCCTTCTTTCAGGTAAAATGACTTGAGGAGAAACTGATATTACTATTGTGTGTTTCTGGTTGAGAACCCAAAATTTAATTAGCAAACACCACCCAAACTCCAAATGAGGAAGTTCTATGAAAAGGGAAAGGAGACTATATTCTTCAAGAATGTCAATGTCAGTGTTAATAATGGGTAGATGTTGGGGTGGGAAAGTTATTAAATTATCCTTTAAATTGTCCTTATTCATGTATCTTTTATGTGCATATGTTATTTCCAAATAAAAAGTTTAAATAATTAAAAAAACAGTATTTCTAAACACCTGCAACTTAAAATATAACAGAGTCCTATTAATCATAGCAATAAAAGTTATTAAGTGTACAGGCAAAAGAAGAGCAAAGATAATTTTTGTCACCATCCAAGTCTACAAAGATTCATCCACTGTGGTCATTGACCAAAAGTGCACTCTGTGCTTCAGACAGAGGAAATTAGAGATGACTACAAGATGCTTTGTGTTGTGGGCAAACATGTTTCTTAGATAGATGTATCTCAGGAAGAATTTTAGTAAACCCAGTTTCTTTCATCTTACCTTACATAAAAAAGCACAGTAAACGTTAACTTGAGATATTTTTTCTTCGTGACTAGCAATAATCTTTTACCAAGATGTATTCTTAGCTATCCTCATTCCCTAAGGCCTTCAGTTTTAAGAATTTTTCTTGGATTTATCTCATGTATACTGGCTTCTACCGCTACCTCTTTGGAGCAGTTCCTCAGAGGTATCTGAGAGGCTCAGATACTGCCCCCCAACCAAGTCTCATGTATATTGACTTCTTACCCTACCTCTTTGGAACAGTTCCTCAGAGGTATCTGAGAGGCTATCTCCTGGACTAAAGTCCTCAGTAAGATCTTGAATAAAATTTAACTTGTATATTTTTCTTTCAGTCAATATTCACCTGGAATAAATTTCTTGAAAATTGTATAAAAAGCATACCAAAGAAGACCTGAATGAATGGAGAGATTGAGAGATATCTCATGTTTATGGATGTGAAGATTCAGCAGCATTCACTGCTGATTATCCCTCCCCTCAAACTAAAATTCAATCCAATTGTCATTAACATACTGACAGAGATTTCCACAGAATTAAGCAAGATAGTGTTTAAATGAATAGGAAAAATAAGAATCAAAGCATATCCGGAAGAAACTCAACAACGTAGGAGAACTTGCTACACTAGAGCTTAATAACTGATTGAGGTAGTATAGACAGGAGATAATTCATGCACAAGCATAGGCATGCATGGAAATATGATTTACGACACCAAAAATGTTGAGAAAAGGAAAGACTAGTCAATGAACCTGAATGGGACAAGCAGCCATGTACATAGAAACATTGTATTTCTACCTTATATGATACAAATAAATCTCAAATGTAATGAAGACACATTTTAAAAGCAAAGCTAAATGTACAACAATGTGACTATAGTTAATAATACTGAATTATATCCTTGAAGTTTGCTAAGGGGGTAGGTTTTAAATGTTCTCATCTCACACAAATAGGCACATATACACAAAAGGAAAAGTGCAACTATGTGAGATAATGGATATGTTAATTAGCTTGATTGAGTTGATTGTTTCACAATGTATGTATGTGTGCATGCTCAATTGCTAACTGACTCTTTGTGACCTCATGGACTGTAGCCCACTAGGCTTCTCTGTCCATGGAATTCTCCAGGCAAGAATCCTGGAGTAGGTAGTCATTCCCTTTTTCAGGGTATCTTCCTGATCTAGGGATCAAACCTGGGTCTCCTGTCTTCTTAACAGAGAGAAAAGCCACATTCAAGAATATTGGAGTGGGTTGCTATTTCCTTCTCCAGGGGATCTTCAAGACCCAGGGATTGAACCCTGGTCTCCTGCATTTGCAGGCAGATTCTTTACTGTCTGAGCCCCCAGAGAAGCACATTCAAGTCTTATATCAGCTTACTTTTAAAATTCATTACTCAATTAAATTTATTCTAAACTCAGTCAGTCTTAACAATGCACAAAACATTTTTCTCAGGGTCTACTTTCCAAAAACCTTCCCATCATTTTCTATATACATCACTTAATTTTTTTCTATTCAGAGATAGTCAGCTTTAAGACAGAGTTACATTCTTCTCCCTTAATAAAATACAATTCCATTCCTTATATCTTCTTTACTGAAAACACACATTCTACTTTCTTTAAAAGTTTTTTCCACATTAAGTTCACCTTTCCTGTTGACAAATTTGTGACAGAATAAGGTTTTATTTGATCTCTAGTAAATGTAGGTACAACAGAAGTTCTGTACTTAACATTGATGACTCTAAAGACATGTCTATATTAATCCAACAAGCTTAAGCCACCTTCAGTACTAAATATGAGTTTAGTACTGAATATTTTCCAGATGACATGAACCTGAAATTTATTCTGGTTGGATTATTTTCTGTTTCTGAGTATTTGTATAAGCATTCAATTTCCTTTAAGCCAATTAAATAGAACTCTCTTGAATCAATTTTTGGCAATACCATGCAGCTGTAACACACATACAAATTCTTAACAATCACACACATACAGAGGTCTCATAGTTCCCATTACAAAATTTCAGCCTTGAGTCAGGTACAATATCATAAAACTCATCAGTTACAAACTGTTGGATTGCAATTAGGCTTCTGGCAGATGGAACAAATCAAACTCATTTGTCTAGACGGCTAAATCTTTTTACTAATATTTACAGAAAAGACGGGCTTACCTGATGGTGCAGTGGTAAAGAATCCACCTGCCAGTGCAGGAGGGGTGGGTTTGATCTCTGGGTCAGGAAGATCCCTTAGAGGAGGAAATAGCAACCCACTCCGGTATTTTTGCCTGGGAAATCCCATAGACAGAGGAGCCTGGAGGGCTACAGTCCCCAGGGTCACAAGAGTTGGACACGACTTAGCAATTAAACAACAACAGAAAAGACTCAGGATTTCTATTTATCCTTGACAAGTCAAGGTCTAAATTATTTGACTTGCTTTTCAAAATTTGTCTTGAAAAGGTGTTGGAAATAAAAGTTCCTGGGAAGACCAGGTAGGACATTCACATCTTAAAAGTACAGGCAAGTTTCTTCTTGGTTGACTTTATTTCCCTTTTGTTTAATGCTTAGAACCCTCTTAAGATAAATAGGGAAGATTTTGGGAGTGGTAAAAGGATTGATGGGCTTTGGATTATTTTTGAAGCCATACCTTTGGTCCTATAAAGACTGGATTTGTAAAATAAGGACAGTTTTTTTTTTTCTTTTTCAAAGAATTGGATAGCCACCTCAATGATTATCAAAGGACTGATGCACCCATTCACGTATGTTATAAGATTTTACATTCCCTCATTTAGCTTAGGGGAGAAGGCCTTCCCTCCAAACTTCCATCAGGCTCCAAATATCAACTATTGTTAGTCAAACTAGTGGGAAGGAAAACTAAAAATGAGGGGTATATGTCTATGTATAACGGATTCACTTTGTTGTATGGCAGAAACTAACACAACATTGTAAAGCAACTATACTCCAATAAAAATGGAAAAAAATAAAATATATGGTGTCTGTTATGTGCTGGTAACATGATGGGAACAATGTTGCACTTCCATTTAAATTTAAGAACAACATTGCCGGATGCATCAAATTTTACTATTGACGGATATTCTGTCTGGACAAATCATGCTTTTGACCTTTCACATTTGTGTTGATAATTGAGAGTCCCCACAAAAGAAATACCACATATTTAATGCTGTGAGCAACTGGACAAAGGCTGACAAATTAGCTCC